TGCACAAGCTTAATGCCTCGGACAGTCTGCCTGCAGTTATGAACGGTGATTTCTTAAGCATCAGAAATCCTCTGCTAATCACAACAGCCCTGGCTTTGCTGAAGGAAAGGGAGTTTACCAGTACAGACCAGCTCACGAACTGCCTCAGCAACTCTAAGGATGTCTTTATTCTCAGTAAAAGGAATAAGGAGCAATAACCAGCTGAAATGTTCATCTTTCTTCATATAAACAACTTTTGTGGAAACACTTCCAGTTCTTCCTTTTTAAGCACATATGCCATGAAGCAGCTTGTCACAGATCTTGCTTATCAGTGGTGTATATCATCTTCAAGAGTTCCATACTGTTATTCTTTCCTTTGTGCTTCATTAAACTTCAACATTAACCAGGAGAAAAGACCCCTTTGAATAATAATAGTCAGTACGACCATTAGTTGGCAAATTTTTCTGAGATTAGCTACGAGCAAAGCAAGCAGCTGTGAGAGTACAGCTGATTCGGAGAACTTGATATGAGTGCACTAGGGAAAACACTTCCCTTTACTCCGGTCAGGAGATGTCTGCGACCAGTGAGGGTACCAACAGGTGCACAAGCTGGTGCTGACATTTAACTGTATGCTGCTGAAAGGGTTGTTTTGAGAGTGAAATTGCAGCTGCACAGAAGAGAAAGCATAGCAAGATTCACCTTGCTGAAATACAACCATCTAAAAGTCGACATTTGCCTTGAATTTTCGCCTGTGCTTCCTCCCTGGAGAAGGAGGAGAGGGAAGGGCACCTCCAGCAGGTGCTCCCTTCCCGTCACACCAGTGTGGAAGATGAGAGAGAGATACTACAGCTGTTAGAAGCAAAGTATTCAGACAAGCTGAAACTTCCCACTTTTTAGCTCTTCTACTTTCCAGGGTTAACTGAATTTCTATAGCTTTAAACAGTGTTCAAAACCCACAGTAGCTCACAATCTGGCCCCATGTTTTTAAGGTACTATTCTTCCAAAATGTATGCATGGGATTTGACATTTATTAAATATTTTTATTCCATTCTCTGGTAATATAAGACAAAACAATTTCAGTTCAGTTTGGCCTTCATGTAGTTAACTTTCTCTCAAAAAGAAACAATATTCATGTGAAGTCAAGAATGGAAATGGAAAAAAAATCCTACCAAAAGTTTGAAGATTGTATAAAACTGCTTCAGACTGTACTACTGGTACATGTCTTGTAGGGAACATGTAACTACTATGGTGTCTGAAAAGCTAAAATACCCAAAACCATAACCAAAACCAGACAAAACCCACAAAAAAGATAAAGAAAAAATAAAACAATATGGTACAGATACAGCCAACTCCACAAAAAAAATAAAGCTAACACAGAAGATACAGGAAATATGTGGAAATATAAAGACCAACACATAAAGTAACTGATTTACTTAGAAATTAAAGCAAAAACTATTAAAAATTTACTTGAAGCAAGAAAACAAACTGCATTGCTTAAAATAAAATCTAACCATCTTAAGCCATAATTTTAATGATTTTTCAATTAATATCATGCATTTGGTCATAAGCCAATAACTATTAAATGGATTGGGGAGGGGGTTATGTTGAAAGAAAGGAATTGTATTAAAACTATAATCATTCTTCAAGAATTACATGGAATTATCAAAATCCCAGTCAACAGACATAACTTGTGTCCACCAGCCAACTCCAAAGCTCACAGGGATATCATAATGAAGTGCTATTAGATCATCACTGAAAAAAACCTGCTTCAATAGTGTATCTTGCTTTCAATAAACCAATGGACCATGGCAGAAGTCCTGGTAGTATTTCTTACTACACAATACAAACTTCATATTCTAGAATTCATATTTCTGAATGCTCACTTCAGCTTGAGGATCATATCGCCAGAGCTGTAAGATCAGTTAGACTCTGGTAAATGCAGACACAGCTTTAATGGCTGCACAATGCACCATGGCTTAAAGACTCCCAGTAAAAGTAAAAAAATTTCTATACATGCATAGAGCCAATCGAGTTGGCTCATCCTCAGTTCAAATGTATTTGGTGGACTAGTCTGAGACTAAATCTATCAGGGTTCAAAAGGATATTAAACAAAGTCTCCACAGTTCAAAACACAACGCTCACTCAAAACACAGTCTATGGAATTGATTTAAATAAAACTTGTTAATTTATTTCTCACACAATGTGCACATCTTGTTATTTTGCTGCCCCTTTTTTGTCAGATATTATGCACATAAGAAGATATAAAATCTGCATTAATCAATCTGCTATGGAGAGCAGGTTATGAAGTCCCTATCCCCCTTGGTCATCTACAGGTTAGATGTGATGACACAGAAGTCCTTTCCCAGCCTTACAGTCCTGCAGAACACTGGTGCAACAAGAAGAGCTGAACACAACAGTTGCCCAGAACAGAGGGCATCAGCAAAGGCTCTGGCATTCCCCAGCTGAGAGAACAGCATTTCACTACAGGTTGTACAGCAAACACACAGGCTACTACCAGAGGAAATCAAATATTTGAACAAGCAGAAAGTGATGCATTTCAGTCATGCATGAAGGGAAACCCAGTGAATAAGAATTATACAATGCCATCATGAACTTGCCCTTAAGAGACAAAACCCAGTTTATTCTGAATGGAATAGAGTAGTAAACACAGCAGAATATTTTTTTTTCTTGAAGGTGGAGGAAACAGACAATTTTCCAAGTATCATAACAAAAAGATTAAAACACTAAAAGAAGGAGTAGACCTGGATTCTTTAGAAGAATCCTATTTAGTTTACTTTTAAAAGACCAAAAATTTAAACAGACTCATTGTTTCAGTTATAGACTGATATTCCAATCATTCTGAGGCTGGTAAAATGAGAGATTAGAGGTTCAAATAATGCAAAATAAAGGCATAGGAACTCATGGGGATGCCTGATGTTCACCACTGCAGTATCTAATCACATAACAGAGCTTGTCTACAAAGAGCTCTTCAAGAAAGACCGAGATTGTTCAAGTGCATAAATCCTTTGGATGAGAAGCAGGGAAAGTTAGTTTATTATTTAAAGGTTGCCAGAGCTAAGAGCAGGAGCAGCAACTGATGTTAGTTTCTAATGAATATGTGGTGTATTCCTCTTGACCACAGGTTACAGTTCTGGAAAAAAGGAATAAGAAGGAAAAACAGGTTCCAGCCGATGAAGAAGGAAAAGCATCCTTGGATATCAACTTGACAATCTAAAAAGTCTGTTTTGAACTAGCTTTGAGGAGTAGAGTGACAAAAGCCCATATGGAAGTAAAACCAGCTAAAAACTACAGATCAAGCAGTAAGATTGTAGTTTGCAGTTTGGAGACCAGAAATTAGAATAGACCACAGCAGACTGGGAACCGCAGGACACCAGACTAAACTCTGAGATGCTGGGTGACTGAAGAACACAGGTTAGGACTGTGAAACCATAGCTTCCTCTTGCAAATACACTGGCCCTACATCATTTTACCTTGTGGACAATCTCTCCCACCAAACACACTCTATATAGACATATGTACACCAATTCCTTCCATAATAACATGCTGTGTGCAGCCCACTTCTACCCCCGAGTCAGATGAAGCCCATGAGTAGAAGAAATTGGCCTTTCAGATCCCATATGGGTGAGGCTATGCAAACCACGAGGCAGGAGGCTGAGCAAGTCCACACTGGTATTTTATCCATAGCATTACTGAAACAGAAATATCCAGGCTAGAAGCTACTTTTTCCTCTTTCTCTTCTTATCTACACTTAGCACTGACAACCTGCAGGTTTAGTTCCACTCATACTTCTGCTGAGCAGAAATTCTGGAGGAGCAATATCAGCAAGTTCAGGAAGGACAGCCTGTGTGCTAGAATATCAGCTTCAGAAGAGTCCATCTGATCAACAAAACAAATTCCTGAACACAGTCACCTTGTCACTCTGCTGGTTACCAAGAATGTTTCAAAGAACTGATCCCTGGCTTTGCTTCCCACAAACCTGTTCTAGCAGGATACAACAACATGCAATGCCTTGGTGTTAAATGTTGCCTGATGAGACATATGAACCTGCAACATTGGAGAGGTCACCATGGTTAAGTCAGATTTGACCCAAGTGTATCTTTGTAGTGATGAGACACAAGTGTGTGCTTCCACTTGGATTATATTTGCCAAGGAAATCAACTGTCACATTTCAAAGCAGAGCCCAAGCACACAGCAGTATAAAAGAAACATAATCAGGAAATCAGCTCTCCAGTGCAAAGCTGAGAATGCACCAGTTCGATGGTATACATGTATCTATCAGTATTTGGTGAAATAAGTCCAGGCAGGATATAAATTTATTTAGGAAGAATATTCCTAAATGAGTGAAACCCACTGAAATATATACATTTCAAATATGAACTTCTGTGAAGCTTAGAATAATTTTTGCTGAATATCTTTCTATGTAGATGAAAAAGAAAAGACCAGAGGCAGGATAATTGCCTGCATCCAGTCATAGTTACAAGCTCTTGAGAGAGACTTAGATGAAATTGTCTTGAGAAGTTATCAAGGGTGAGGTAAGGGGTTGAAAATTAAATTAACTAAGTAGTCACCATAAAAGCAGCATGTAGGACAGAGAAAGATCTGGGAACATGATGAATGAATAGCTGCTTAAAAGGCAGAGAACAAAATCAGAAGGCTACCTGTGACTTCATGAAGCTTCATCTTCATAAATAGAGAGGAACCCATTAAGACAAAATGAAAAGGAGTGACTTCCTTCTAAGCTATCTAGATATTATATCTTACACTGAGCTTTCATATTATGATGATGGTGACCATACAGGCTCAAAGTACTTTCTAGATCATTGACTGATAAGATGCTTTTGGATGATCCCTGTGATGAAAAAAGGAATTTAGCAGAAAAACCTGCAAAATATGAATATTTGTTCTCAGAGAGACAGATAAAACAGAAATCCAGGTCAGACATCATATGAAATGTCCTGGAAATGTAATGCATTAAAAGTATTTTAAAAATAAATATTTACCCAGATCCTTAATGAGTGATAATGCTTCCCATGATATAAATGCTCCACCACCGTCATCCATAGCTCCCTGCCCAACGTCCCAGCTGTCCAGATGTCCGCTGACCAATACAACCTGGAAATGCAGTTATGAGAAAACATATCTAGATGAAAACACTGAATCAGAAAAGTCAGTTTAGAATTTAAGCATTTTAATGATTTTTCTTCATAAAATTGGCCTTTTAGTTTCGAATAGGAGGAAGAAAATACTTCAAATAAAATTAAAGCTGAATATAAATCTGGGGTGAGAAAATTCATACTGCTGCTTCAAACCACTGCCCAAGTCAAGCTAGATATGCTATGAGAGATGTTTAATGAAAAGTTTTATCTTGTACATTAATAAAGTGCATACTCTCCAGAGATGCAGGAATACTACACTGCTGAATGCTGAAAATTTCTTTCATGTTCCATCTGTTTAAGCCCTTAGGCATGAAATTTGATTAACACTATTTTTGGGTGCATAAGGAAGAAATATGAACCTAGAACGAAGCATTCCCAAAGCTTTTTGTTTTATTATATATCTATGGTACTTGTCACAGAGGACCTGTAATTTATAACTGGATCCCCTATGTGCTACAACAGTGACAAGGTATTTTATAGTTCCATTAGTCATAAGGATATTTTAAATGGTTATTTAAAACATGGTGGCAGGTCCCAGATGGGATTTCTGCAAAGGAAGTTTTGTGACTACAGTGGGGAATAGTATATGTACCTCCAGAAACACCCACTTTCAGATCTGAACTTTTCAAATGTTGACAAGCAGCATCAGTCCAATATCAGAAATGAGGCAGTTCCCTAATTGGACCTGAAGCTGAAGGGCTGATGGATCTATGATTGCAATGGACAAAAACTCTGAGCCAAGCAGGCAGTGTGATAAAATGATGCAATAAAAACAAACAAACAAACAAACAAGATCAGGAGCCATGGCATTGCCCTAGGAATCTTTGAAGAATCGGTACCAGAAAAATTACCCTTGGGATAGGGCAGAAGTGGAAGTGCTCAACTTATGACAGTTCAGCACTGAGGTAAAACTGAAGGGGATTATCCACCTGTGTCCTGTCCAGTACTGTCCTTACATGAAGGGATGCTTCCCACTCTCTTGTTGGCTGATGTCAAACAAGTTTGGGAGTCATGGAATCTAGAAAAATGTGAAAAATATTCATTCCTCCTGACACCTTTTCCTCCCTAAGGGATAAGGATCTCAGCTTTCATCCACCACAAGACAACTACTCTAGCACTGAAAATGAGAACCTAATAGTTTTTCCTGTTATAACCCCTGGAGGGCAAGAGCCTATGCTATCAAGCATGCAGTGAACATCGCAAGGAACTAACTTGGGGCCCCTCTTCATATGAGAGAAATCTTAGTATGTTTTCACTGGTTATTAAAAATAATGGACTAACACATGATGGCAAGACAAAGAGCATGAAGTGCTCATCAAACAACAGTATTTTTTCATCTAACCAAACAAAACCTCAGGTAACATGACTAAAATACCCCTAGTATTAAACAAGGGCTATGAGAAAATGCTAGTCATATCCATTGTACTGCCATGGGTCCAACCAGAATGCACCACACCCCTTTAAATTTAGAAAACATGCTGGGAGTTGTTTATAAATGTGCATGTTATAAAAAACAGAAGTGTCATGCCTTAGAAGCGAGAAAAGCTTGTGATCAAAATCTGAAGAGCAATTTACTCTTTCCTTCTCAGATGTCTCAACTCTCTTTGCTGCTAATCCAGCCCTAACTCAACATGTGTTTGCTTTCTGGCACAGACTGATTTTCTTGGTAGTAGACAGACAGGCTGCAATCTTTATTCAAAAAACTGTCCTGCTTCAAAAGCACTTAAATTTGGATGGCAGGCCCCTCTATAAAAGCCTCAGAATTACTCAGGGGGTATTCCTGCAATTTAATGTCACGATCCTCCCAGGCCCAACATGGAAGATTGCAAACAGCACGTTTTCCAGGGACGCTACCCTGCAGTAGATGCTCTTAATCTGCATCAGCCCTCTGCTACAATAGCAACATAGCTTGAAAACAGATCATGCCAGCTTTGGAGGTAAAGACCTTTCTGAAATGAGAGCAGAGAAATGCTTACTGTGGTCCTCCTTGCTCTTTTGGTTTTCTTATCAGGCAGGACTGAGCACCCACACGTGCACGCACATGCAGGTGGAGAGGGCAAGGCATGAACAAACTGCTCTGAGTTCATTCATGCGTGTGCACTGCTATTGCAACTTGCCTATGGAGAGAGCTCAGACACCACCACACTTTGCAGTCAACTGATGCAGACTCAATACAGTCCAGTCCATAAAGAATTTGCAAATAATAATAATTATTTTGTTAAAAGATCAGAAAAGGCTCTGAGTGAAAACACAATTGTCTGTAGTTATTCCACAATTTTTAAATTTTCACGTGGTTTGTTCATCCTTGGAGCAAAAACTGGTTTTAAGAAGATAAATATTCTCTTTCCTGGACAACAGAGCTTCAGGATGAAGTGAATTATTTAGAACAAGTCTGTAAACTCATTGAGAGAGAACCAAGTTTACAATAGAAGTGACACCTTGTCTTTAGCAGTGAAAGAATACCTCACTAATGCTGTTCCCTGGCAGCAATCTCAACATGAATGGAATCACTCCTCGTTTCTGTGAAACAACATATATTGCAACATCAGGAAATTCTGAATCAGAAAAAGGTGGTGTAATCTCATTTGGGGTTACAGACTCCAAACGCAAAGCATCTTTACCAAGTCCAGAACATTACACCAAAACAGACCAAAGTTCAAGTGGATTGAGAAAGTGAGATCATTTTATGGACTAACTTTGACTTAAATTTACTAATGCTGATGCCAGGAGCAATTACATAAATACAACCATTGTACTTCTATGTGAAAGTTTTTTCACAACAGTTGTTTTTTTTAAATTATCATGCTTTTGTAGCAGCTGCTAAAATTAAAGTTTCACTGATTGTGCTGATAGTCAGAGGTATTCTTAAAATAAAACACAGTCATAAAATAGCAAAAACCACTATGTGTGTCTTGATCTTTAAGTAGATATAATGTGTCTGAGCAATGAAAGGACGTATTTCTGAAATTCAGTCTAAACCACCATATTATTTAAAGCAATATTATCAAATAATAGCATTATAATACTCTGTATAGGTGACCTAATAACAAAGGCAGTTAGAGCTATCAAGGACATATGATTATTGCATTTTCCACATTGCTTTCAAATCTGTTATGTGGTTCTCAGCTCCAAATCTCACAGGCACTAATAACTTACATTTGCACAAAACATCCCTACAGAAATCTCAGCCCATGCCAAGAGGATGCAAGCTTCGCAAAGCAATGTTTGGAATTGTATATAGGCATAAGCATTTGTTTTGAATACACAGAGAAACCACAAGCAACTGTATAGGACGGTACAAATACAGCAGTACCCATTTGCCAAATTGACCAAAGGTAAATTTAGGGTAAGACAGCTTGCATGCAATGTGACAACTTAAGATTTGCCTTTCCTATTCAATTTCCTTCTGCATCAGCATTATGATCTCTATTGGATGTCTTTAGGACATAGAATCATAGAATTTAATGGTTGGAATGGACCTTGCAGATCATCTAGTCCCAACCCCCTGCCATGGACAGGGACACCTCCTCACTAGATCAGGTTGCTCAAGGCCTCATCCAGCCTGACCTTGAACACTGCCAGGGTCAGGGCAGCCACCACGTCCCTGGGCAACCTGTGCCAGTGTCTCACCACCCTTACAGTAAATAACTTTTTTCTAATATCTAACCTAAACTTCCCCTCCTTCAGTTTGAACCCCTTACCCCTTGTCCTATCATTTCAGTTCCTAACAAAGAGTCCCTCTCTGGCTCCTTTGTAGCCTCTTCAGATATTGAAAAGTTGCTCTGAGGTCCCCATGCAGTCTTCTCTTCTTCAGGCTGAACAACCCCAAATTCCTCAGTCTGTCCTCACAGGGGAGGAGCTCCAGTCCTCTCATCAACTTTGTGGCCCTCTTCTGGACTCACTCCAACAGTTCTATGTCCTTCTTATGTTGAGGACACCAGAACTGCACACAGTATTCCAGGTGGGATCTCATGAGAGCAGAGTAGAGGGGAAGAATCACCTCTTTTGACATGTCCAGCATTTCAATCGAGCATATTGAAATATTTTGAAATTAATTTTTTATGGATTTATATGAATATACGTTTATATTTTAAAACAAAAAAAATTAGGAAGAAGAACCACACATTCACATACATGTGCACATGTCAAGGAGTTATCCTTTTCTAAGCAGGATGGATTTTGCCACTGAAAAATAATCTCCCATTCCATACGTAGTTACACAGGCCAATTGCATTCTTCATGCAATAATTTCATAAAATGTAGGTAACTACCTTCTGCTTGGTTAGAAGGAATTATAAGAAAGTTAATCTCAAGGCAAAGGCTTCATTTTATGCAGCCTTAGAGATCATAAATAACAAACATTAGGAAAGTATTGTAAGCAACATTTTTAATCACTTAATTTAACCTAGAATCACATTTGTATTAAGCTGTGAAAACCAGCATGCAGAGTTGTTCCATGTCACTGAGATAGATGGTAATGAAAGAGTAATGAAGTCATCATTCATCTTTGCACTTCATCGATGGATGTTAGGGTCCACAAAGTAGGACCTTTATTGATGGAATCTGCTTATCAAGATATTTATCTTAGAAAAGCATAGTAATAACTTTCATTATCCATAACACTGAAAAGTATTTTTCCTTACGTCTTCCACCAGCAGACAGTGAAGATAAGGAGCACCTTAACTTGCATGAAGAGGGCAGAAAACTTAAAAAGAATCACATACACAGAGTATGGGATGAACAAGAACTAAATGGGATATTAGAACCTGATCAAGCATCTTTAGTTGCAACACATTCAAAATCCAAGTGTCAAAACTTCAAGGTAAAACAGTGAAGTGCTCTAGACCATAATTAGTGTTCTTTTCCACTCTTCATACACATATTCAGCCAAATCATGCCACAAGTCTACAGTGTTCCCATCAGTACACAATTACCTGGAAACTCATGAAAAAC